GGTAGGTAAAAAGTTAGAAGCAAGGGCCTCAAAGTTTGTCCCCCCCACCCCAACAAACCCTTGCAGCGGGAAGAGGGAGTGAGTACGTTCTTCTAAAGCTTTGAACTTCCTGTGTCCGCTGACCCCCTGCAGGTCTGACACCCTCCACGCTCTGTAGTTTCATGTCCTCTTCGTCCGGGGTCTCAGGAGTGGGAGCGGATCGGAGACCGAGGCCCACCACTGTGACGACAGGGCACTCTGGAAGCAAGTGACTGGCCCCGGAGGTGGGGCCCAGGGGGCCGGGCCAGGGAAGGGGGGCCCCCGGGGGCCACCAGCGCCACCAGCCACTCCAGAGCGATCCCACCTTGCATGGTGCGCCTCCCTGCACAGGACTGGAAGACAGCAGTTTTTTTATGGCCATATTTTATACTGCAATTCTGAAGTGTTCATTTCTCACAAACTGTACTGACTCAAGGGATCTGGTGCTGTACATATGAATCTCGCAAAGCTCTAACAGAATGGACTTTCTCAGTTCCTCTCCCCAAGCCCTGTTGTTTCCGCTCTTCTCAGTAGAGGTACCCGTCTATGTTGTATTTTTTCATTCATGACAAAAAAAAAGTTTCAACTGGATTATTTAAGTATTGGTAAATATTGTGCATTAGGGTTTTTTTTTTTTCCTTTTAAGAAATGTGTCCTTTCAAGCTATACTTCTTACTTCCATGACCTGTATCTTTTGCTTGTCGGTAGTAGAATGTTATGTTAACCTTTAAGAGATTTTTTTTTCCTTCAAAGGGAATTTAAAAGTATTTTTTAAAATTCTAATAGAGGATTGATCGAGAATCTGTCTCCAAGGTGAAGAGTGCACTTTACTTCAATTCCTTCTCCTTGTCTCCCTTTCTTCCTTGGAGGGGCAGTTCTCTGAGAAGGCAACTCACCTCTTCTGCAGGCCTGTTTTCTCCTTGGGAGTTGGGGAGCCCGTGGGGGGCACCTGCAGAAAACCTTGCCTGGCAGCTCCTCCAGCAAAGCCCTCTCCAACTGGAGACCGTGGGGCCTCTGGCCATCCACAGTCAGAAATGAAGAAGCCTGCTCCCCCAGAGCAGATGAAAGGCTAGACTTGTGGTGAAGGAGATGACCCCTCTCCCCCTGCAAAAATTTCAGAGCCTCCCGCACGGAAAGAGCACGATTGCCACTTTGTTTGGAGCAAATTTCTCACACAGCTCTCCTTTCTCATGAGGAGGGTGGCATGTGAAAGCCCAGCTATGCAGTTTTAAAACTGATTTGTTTTTTAAAAATGCATTTCTAATCTTACAACTGCGAACAGCCTCCAGCTCACACCAGTTGTTTCTGCAAGTGTTTACGCTCTTCTTAGAGGGTGAGGATCCCGAGAAGGGAAGAGAGGGCCATGGCCTTGGAAAAGACCCCATTGACATGAGGTGGTGAGGAGAGGTGGCCTGCCCAGCCGGCAGTGACACTGCAGTGACAGCCAGAGGCCGCCCCAGCCAGGCCCAGCTGGCATGCAAAGCCATCCCTCTGACGAAGGGAGTCCCCAAACCAAAGGTCTGAGACGGTGGGGTCACCAGTGGTCCCAGGTGTCCCCGGACTGAAGGGCTTTCAAACCAACGGTGTCCCAGGAAAACTGGGCCACGCTGTACACCCACGTGGTGGATGGGTGTGTAGGATAGAGTGAGCGCAGTGTGAAACCCAGGACAGAGTGCTTCTCCAGGAGGCTTCCAAGATGCTGTCATGAAAAGGCGAGCAGGTGGGGCCAGATGCAAAAGCCCTCCCTCAGCCCCCGTGCCCACACGATGCCCTGAGTCTGCATCCGCACAGTCGGCCTCGAGCCGACTGCAGGGGGTCCCTGCATGTCTTCTTGATGGTCCCATGACTTCCCTGGCTGTTGTCCTCATGCTCTTCTCCCGCAGATGGTCAGACTCAGTGGATCCTGTTGATCTGGCTGTCTTTGTCACTTCTACACCTTTGCCTGGGTGTAGGCCAAATGTTCAGTGATGGCCCCCTCAGCACACACACACTGTTATGAGGCTCAACAGCTGCATTCTGCCCCCTTCAGGACAGCAGTGCAGGTGTGTGTAAGAGCCGCTGGAAAGACAGGCATCTGGTTCACCCCGTGTCTTCCGCATCACAGACACTCAGCCCCTTGACAGGAATCCCACTTGACATCTGCCACACGTGTATCCAGAGTGGAAATCAAGGTGTTACTCTTCAAAATTTGTAAAAAGCCTGGAAATGTCTATAAAATGACAGAAGACCCAGTTAGGAAGCAAGTATTGCCTCATTTGGAGGACAATAGCATGAATATTATAAACAGAATCAGGAAACTGAGGCATGTCTCCCAGGACTTTAGTAGAATGTTGCTTACTAACAAGTGTAATGGAAGATCCAAGTTTGTACAGTATAAGAGGAGAAGCACTTAGATGTTATGGAGGAAGGGTGATAATTTGCCTGAATCTGATACATAGAACATGTGCCCAAATAGTTACCAGCTCCTTGAACTGTGCCCTACACAGTCATTTGCACTTGGAAAGCAGCAGATTTTATTGGTGGCAAATTATTTTCTGGAGCTGAATTGTGGGATGCATGTTCTATGCAATTAATTTGAAAATATGTCCTACCTGAAAAGTGCAGAAGAGCTGAAAGACGGGCAGGTTGCAGGTGCCTCTTTGTGATTTGGGGTCAGCTCTTGGCCATGGTTGGCCACATCAGGTCTCAGTACCAAACTGCAAGAAGATAGTGACTGTTTCAGCCCAAAAGTAGGCTCTGTTGAACTTGACATCAGGTGAATCTCTGCTGTCTGGATGCCACCAGACTCAGGTTTTTCCCCCGTTCTTTTAGGAAGAGGAGAAAATAAGCCCCACATGGAAAAGCTGCTCTGCTCAGAGAGGCCTTAGTGGTTAAAAAACAGAGGTTCTCTTTCAACCGTGTTATTTACACTTGATTACAACATGGGAAGAGAACTCGGAATATGCCTTTTGGTAACACCTGCCAAGTGGAGTGACTGAGTCCTAGGACCCTCACTGATGTCAGATTATACCAACAGAAGCTGAGCTTTTCATAGTGACACCCGGCTTACACATCTCGAGGCCAGTGCGTGTGGCTAGACTAAGGATGGACCGTGGACTTCATCACAGGCTTCCTTCCAACACCCCGCCCCCCCCCCCCCCCCACCAATTTGGTCTCTTCACCTCCTCAGAGAAAGTGGATTGTTTTTCTTATTTGAAATAGTGTCTTTGAATGGTCTTGCCCTCAACTGCCTGTCTGTCTCTCCTTCACTTCCCTGATCTTCATCTCATCCATGAGGCCATCAGGGAGGCTAGCATTTGTCTGAAACAGAGGGCGTGCACCCAAGTGTGGCTCTGACAGACTTTCGAGCAAGTCCCAGCTCTTCAGCTGGCTCTGAGCGTAGCATCCAGGGAACTGGGCAGTTGGGCTTAGAACTGACCAGGCAAGTCTCTGGCACTCAGGGAGGATGAGCTGGTGAAAGGCATGTGCCACATGTCCCTCCAGCTCAGTCTACCTACAGCACTAATCTCATCCTGTTCATTTGTCTCCCGTGGTGTCCAGAAGATCCGGGCGGATTATGAATGGAAGAGGAAGACCCCTCCTTTAGAATGAAGGCCAAAAACACTAGGGACAAAGGGATGGAATGCAAGTGACCCCTCCTTGCAAAGAAAGGGGTTAACCCTTCCTTTGGAGGAGTGACAGCTTGATGAATGCCCTGGGGTTTGATGTGTTGTGAGAAAAGACTGTATCCCAGTGAAGATAACTCAGTATTTTAAGACTTTGGCCACCATGGCCCCCTCACCCACCCAGAGCCTGGGCTGTGTTGATTCTTCACCTTGGAGAAGCCACTCTGGAACCATTGCTCCAGGTTTGAGGGTGGGAGAAGGAGGGTTATGGCCTCTGTGTTTCGCCTGCGACACTGTCAACTTCCCAATTTTGTGTGGTCTCCACAAACTCCCTTCTGGGCTTCCTCTGGTTGCAAAAATGGACAGCAAGGCCCAGTAGAGGGCAGTTCCTCCCATTTCCATAAGCAGAAATAAGATGTGCTCTTTCCCAGGGTCTCACTGTCACTTCTGGCAAATGGAATGAAGGTCCTCTGAATCAACCGATGCACGAAACCTTTGCATGTTCTTCTGAAACAATACTGCTTCCCGTTCTGTCCACTTACACTCTGCAGAGTTGGCCTTTTCCTTAAACACATTCCAGACCAAACACTGTTCAGTTTGTTTAAAAAAAAAATGTATATACCAGTTTGTAACCCACCACTCTTTGTGAGGGACAGGGGGCTGGTCCTAGGATGGGGCTGCCAGTTGGCCAAAGGGTGTTCCAGTTGGTTTTCAGAATTGACAAAGTTGAGATAGGAAGGGTGAATTGTGCAGATTTCTTAAAGGGGAGCTTAATTCACAGGGATGCCAAGAAAACCAGGCTGCCAATGGGATTGCTTGACACTTCTACATTGGCCAGAGGCAGGGAGGAGAAAGAGGAAGGCAGGAGGCCCAAGCCACCTTCAGCCCTGACCTTCAGTGTGGTCCCAGTGTATCGCAATCTGCAGCCCAGCACAGGCACAGGAGCCCAGCCCCACTGTGGAGTCGGCCCTGCATGCTGGCCGCGACCTGGCCCGCCTCCTGCTCTGGGCCAAATCCAACGGGCAGGAGCATCAGTCTCTCCCGCCTTCCCTGCCACTTGTAGCAGGAGCAGCCGCGCTTGTGGCTCCGGGGCCTCTGCTTCTGCAAACCCAAAGGCTGTTCATTTGGCAGCCAACCCTGCAGCATGTGGCTGCCAGGTCTGGTTTCGTGGACAAAGTGTGGAATGGCTTCTTGGTGTCTGTGTCTCTCTCTACACCAAAGGGACTGACTACTGCATTTCCCCCTTTGTACTAATGCCGCTTCTGCATTCGCCATATCCATTTTTAACCTTTTGGTCTCCAGGGAACTTCTCATATGATGATTGTGTCTTCTGATGATTTACCAACTTCTTTTACTTCGAGGTGATTTTATTTTCTTATGGACGGGAAAAAAGAAAATGAAAGGAGTGTTAAGGCTTTCATCATAGAGATAAAATATCACCAGGAACTCAAAAGCCCCAAACACTGGATAAATTACTTCTCAAAGAAAAAGCTTAATCTGGACAAACTGAGGTTCCTGGGCCCTCGTGGTAACCTTGCACTTGAGGGAGGAGGTGCTGGGGCAGCGCTGGCAGCCAGGCTCTTGACATGTTATAAAAACAAAAACATTGTGATAGTGACAAAAATGCTACAACCTTGCAGCAGCATCTTTGTTTTGCAAGGCAGGCAGCATGTTTCAAAGAACATTTATCTTAGCCCCATGTTCAGGTTGAAAGATATTAATACAAAAGGTACATTCTGTCCAGAATAAAATTTGGAACAATTTCTAAATTGGCTCTGGTCACTGCAATAATGTCATAGTCCTTCTTGCAGCTCTCCCAACAGTGAGCATGTTTTCCAAAAGCTTATGACATTGAACCCAGGAATGTCCCTGTGTCTATTATTACTAGGCTTGTAATTGGTTCAGTTTTTCCATAAAAACATGCTTGTCCAAAAGAAGGGAAACTGTGCATTTATTCCATGCATGTAATAAACTCTGCAAGAAGTTTACTCCACATAGGTTTGCGGCACTGCAAAATTGTTAACGGGCCTGTGTAGCAAATGATTCTCTGCCTTGACAATCATGTACACATATCAAGATTTCTATCATAATGATGACGAGATTGATGACTTCTTGTTTTCCTCCAATAAAGACAATTAATCACCTTCAGATGTGTGTCGTTTGTTTCTTACATAAGAAGCCAGACTGGAGTGTTTCAACAGCTCTCTCTTTCCTCCTCTCTATAAAAGTTTGGATTTGAAAGAAGGAGTTGAATTGAGCCCCTGGAAATTCATAAGGTCCCCTAAATACTTTATGGGGCTCCCCTGATGGCTCAAGCAGTAAAGAATATACCTGAAATTCAGGAGACACAAGAGGCGCGGATTCAATCCCTCAGTAGGGAAGATCCTCTGGCAGAGGGCATGACAACCCCCTCCAGTATTCTTGCCAGGAGAATCCCATGGACAGAGGAGCCCGGCGGGCTCTGGTTCATGGAGTCACAAAGAGTTGATGTGACTGAAGTGACTGAGCACAGCGCAAATACTTTATATCACCACCCCAGGAATCCTGTGCAGGAGTCATGCCACGGATGGGGGCAGGACAGGCACAGCTTGGCTTTGAGGCTTCTGATGGGCTCCCAGGCTCCCCCTTTGCCTTGCTGCTGTAGAAGGTGGCTGGAGGTGGACCCAGAAGCCCCCAGAAATCCAGATCACACTAACTAGATATTCTTGAGTCGTTTGCAGGAAAAGCCAACACTAATTTCCCGGAAAACCTGAGTTTCACATGCCTGCCCACACATGCCCACACCTGTCCATTTCCTGGGCACAGCCTGGGAATTCTCAATGCCCAGAGGAAGATTCTTTTCTGATCATGTAACCAAAAGTGCGGTCTGGCTGCTTACTGCTTAAAAGCCAATAGAGTCAAGATTGATGGAAAGGAAAGTTTGCCTTATTCTGGATGCCAACAATCAGGGGGGGGCAGGCAGACACCTCACCAAAGGCTGACTCCCCCCACCACCATTTACAATCAGTGGGCAAGAGCTTTTATAGACAGAGAGAGGGCCTTACATGCAGAAACAGCACAGTCAGCTCTTGATAGTCATCTTAAAATTGGTCATCGGTGGTCTGATCAGTGTCACCTTGATCGTTGTAAGTACAGTTAACCTTCAGCTCCAGGGTAGTTTGTTTGCATTTCTTGGGGCCAGTTCTCAGAATTGTGGCAGCTTGTGTCATGGCTAGAGTCTGGTCATCATGTAAACTCCTCCACCTGGTGGGGTTCCAGTATCCATAAGACAGCTCACAGCCCTTGAGAAGGAACTAAAGGTGCTTGACTTTGCTTAATGACTGAATTCTCATTATTTGGTCTTGTTTGACTGTTTTCCTTGATTTCTACATTTTCTCACTTCCCTGATTAAACGATCTTTGGCTAACATTTTTCTGCAGGCAAAATGAAGGCAGAGGACATGAGGGTGAGGACCATAGAATCCTGCTCTGTTTCAATCAGAAGAGTGAATATTGTTTGCTTGTTTGTTTTCCTGGTTGGAACACCTGCAGCTCATAGCTCATCGGATATATTGTGGGAATTGGATCTGATCCACCAGACAATTCCTCCAATCCAAATAATAAGTTGTTGTGTCAAGGGGGAAAACAGGAATTGGACATGGTTGTAGAAATATAGAATAAACATTAACCCACACAGCCAGTATCAAGTGAAAAAAGCATGAACCTTAGTAGAAATAAGTGAGCCCCAAATAAATATAGTGTCCATCATCTGATACCTGATGTCTAGTCCTTTCTTAGCTGATATGGCCTCTCTCAATGCAGACCCTAGTCAGGAGCTATAACACAAGGTTCATTCAGAGGGTGCATAGGTGACACAATTAATGCAGGCTTTATGGAACGAAAGAACTTCAGTAACCTAACCAGTTTTGAAAACTATCTGTAAGGATTCATTAAAGAGAAGGCTCGCCAACTGTGACTGAAAATTTAGCCAAAGCAAGTGCACAGAAGTATAAAACTGATCCTAATAGAAAGCTGATATTTATTAGAGCCCTAGAGTTGAAATGTTTAAGGTCAGACTTTGAATTCACTGAGTTTCAGCAGCAATGACCAGCACCTCTACCCTTCAGACATTCACCAAACCCCCTGTGGCTCAAAAAATGTTCAATATGCATTGAAATTCACCTCAAATTTCCTTATATTTTTCAGGAAAATTTTGCTCTTCACATTCTCTTGGGATTGTCTGTCAGCCAGAATACATATAGGGAACCAGTGGTACAAGAATTAAATAAAGCCTCCCTACATAGATGCAGAACTGTCCATCCAGACAAGAACCATACTTTGTTATTATTATCAGCAACAATATCTACTACTACTAACCATGCCGTGGATTTTCTGTTCTAGATACTGTGCTAACTGAATTCCATTCAGTATCTCATTTAACCATCAGCTCAGCAAGAAAGGTGCCCTTCTTCCCCAAATGGGTTCAGAAAGATTAAATGATTTTCCTACAGGCAGCAGAGTTTCAAACTCAACTGGACTGATGTCAAAGGCCATCCTACTGTATTTCCTCTCAAAATTCTCTGCAGGTCATTGAATTCCAAACTGCCCAATCTGGACTTCATTTGTTTAGTAACTGGGGCCCACTCGTAATTATTGAGTTGACACCATGGAATCAGTTAACGTCTGGAATGTCACCATTCCTAAGGTTTGTCACACCACATCTCCAAGAGAAACTTCTCTTAGCATCTCAGCCTAGTTTTACACAAGTTCAGTAAATGAGAAACAGCAGCAGAGGGAACACAGACATAACTGTGTTACTAGCCCATGTGTTTTCTGCTGTTCCATTGTCTCACGTCTCAGGAGAAATGTCACAGAAGCTGGATTTGGTCTAGAATTCGAGCTGTAGACGATAATCATAACACTGCTGGGGTTTTTGTCTTAAGTTAGTCTCTTCTCTTGCTCTGATTGATATCACTGGAAAGTTCTCTTCATATACACGGAGTTTTATCCTTGACATGCAGACCTCCCTGTTGTCTGCTATTCCCCCCAGATCGCCTTCAAAACCGCTGATTTATTTTCAAGACAGTGTCTCAGATCTCTGGTTCTCTTCCATCCTCCCCTGGGAGGAACTGTGTTTAGCATGAGTTCATCTTCCTAATGTGTTTCCACCAGCAAGCACGGACTCTGTCCAGAAAGACTTAATGGGCCAGGAAAATGCAATCCGTGGTCAACTTATGAACACTTTTCCTCTTGCCTTCATCTCAGGCTGCTTCTTCCCCCTCTCTATAAAAAAACATTGTTTTAGCTTCAACATTATATTTGTCTTGGGGGCATCAGGATTCATTTCTGTGGGTCTTGCTGATTCAGGCTGTTTATATCGGCTCATGGAGAAAAACTCACACAGGATGCTGAGCCGCCAGCCAACCTGGCTGTAGTCACGGAGAAGAGCAGCCTGACTGGCCCCTCTCGTTAGGGCCGGCTGTTCCCTAGCATGGAAGTGGAACATGGCTAACTTCTGTAACCACCTGTCCCAGAGTGCTTGTCACAGGGACCCCTGTGGGAGGAGAGAAAGCTTACTCATGGTAAGTCTTTTAAATGAATTGTCTCAGGTCTGGACACTAGTCCCAGTAGTGATGGAACCTCAGGGTCACCAGAAGTGTGTGTGGAGGGGGGACTTAGCATCTCTCTGGTACAGGCTGCCCCACCCCGTCAACTGTGCTGCTTGACAAACGGTCCCCAGGCTGCACTGCCTCAAAGCTGCATCCCAAAGCTTCCCACGCCGTACCTCCCCCTACTCCTCAGAGATCTCGCTGAGATGCAGATTCTGAGTCAGCAGGTCTGGAGGGGTGGGCGAGCTCCCAGGTGTCACTGCTGCCCCTGGTGGTCCTCACGCCCGCCTGCCCATTCGAATCACCCTGGGATCATTTCAGAAATACTAGTGCGTGGGCAGTGGCACTAGGATTGCTGGTGAAAAGGTGCCCTCGTGGGCTTCATTCCTACCCATACCATGTGGGCCTCATCTAGGGCTGCTGAAGGGAAAGACAGACAGACAGGCAGCAGTGAGAGAACACAGAAGTGCCAGCACGGACACCACAGTCTTTTTATAACCTAACCTTGGTACCTCAGTGCTTCTGCCACATTCTATTCATTAGAAGTGAGCGTTAACCAAGGGCGTGACCACCAGGATGTGGGGCCCACAGGGGGCCTTCTGCACAGCTGCCTCCCACAGCCTTGTCCCTCTGCTGCCTCACTCATGACCCTTGCTGACCGGAGAGAGAGGTGAGGCTGGACTGTGATCTGTGGCCGGGATCCACGTGCTGAGGGAGAGGCAGTGAGAACAGGGCTCCGGGATGCTGCAAAGAGCCCAGACGTTCTCTGAATGACATTCATCCAATTAATGTTTTTAAAATCTTGTATTTGCTCTAAGAATGTAAAGCAGACTACCAAAGTCTTAGCAAACTGCTCTAGGGAAGCTGCAGGCTTCAAAACACAGCATTCCCTCTGTCCTGAGAAGAAGCTTTTAACTCCGCCCAGAGTAAAAAAGAAAAATAAGTAAGCTTTGGACATGCACATCCTGAAGTCTGCAGGTGCACCCCATCTACCAATTGATGCCCATGTGGTTCTTCTTAAAGAGATCGAGATCGGAGAGTCGATGCTCCATGTGGAGCTGGGAAATGAAGCTGTGCCCCACAGCTGCTGGTCCTCATGAGGTTAAACCCGGGCGCAAAGGCTGACTGGAAAGGGCTCTTGCTCTGGGCCAGTTTAAGTAAT